TGCCTCAGGGAAAGTACTGCGGTGTGAATGCGATTGGCACTAGCCCCCTGGCGGATTCAGTGCCGTGGAACTTTAGTGCCGGCACTAAAGTACGGCAAATCATGCATTGAAGGCAATGGAGAGAGAAAAATTATCTTTCGATCCCGTTTGAATTGTGCCACGAATTACACATATGATGTTTGTCAATCTTAAAAAATAATTTCCATGTGAAAAAAGTCACAGTTTGTTGTAAAACTGTTGAAATATAAGACTATGAAAAATACGCAACTAGAAAGACTACAAATCCCAGAGTCCCGGTCCCGCATGCTGGCTCTTAGGAACCGACTAACTCCCCTTGTGTGTATGTACAGCTCTCAACATGCCCAGACTTGGAGTGATTTTCACCTCTTTTAATACTTTCCGCCTCATTCTGAAAGAAAGAAGTGAAATGTGCCAACGTGACGGCCATCTTGGTGTGTGGTGCGAGACGGGAGATGTAGTTCATTGAACGGTTTCACACAAACAAGTGTTACTTCACAGTTTTACCACACTTTTTTATTTGTTTGACTTGCAAAATTATCTTTTAAATTGACAAACATCATATGTGTAATTCGTGGCACAATTCAAACGGGATCGAAAGATAATCTTTCTCTCTCCATTGACTTCAATACATAATTTTTCCGAAATAAGGTCCATGGAGGTCCCCCGGAGAGGGAGGGACTTCACCTCTCGATTATCTCAATAATTTGCAACGTAAATCTCAGAGACGACAAGTTTTTCGTCGTAAATTTGTGAATTTAAAATATCAGGAAATATCAGAGTTTATTTCTTTAAATGTATTTCTTTTGTGCAATTTTATGATCTCATCTAATATTCAAATGTACTTGTGAGAATTTTATCATAAATATATGGCTTTGACATGTGAATCTGACATAGGGACATTTATTTTTTATTTCAATATATTTCTCTTTCATAAAACATAAAAAAATACCCACAATTATGTATAACAGGCTTTCTTATACTGACCATAGCACGATAACATTGTACACTTTGTAAGTGAATATTATTTAATGTTGGTATCACAAGGCTTCAAACAATAAATATTTCTCAGCACAATTAAGTCCTAAAAGATGTAACTATTGTTTTGACCACTAGAGGGAGCTCTTTGAAAAGATTCCTGTCTGACCTGTGCTATCAATTCAATTCAGTAACCTTTATTTAAACACAGAACACTGACACATGAGTTGTTAGTAATATTATACTGTGGATAAAAAAATCATTAACATGCCATGAATACATTTTCAATTCATGTTTACAGCATGATGCAAAGGTCATGAACTCGTGCACCTTTGCTGTGTACTGCAGCAATGTATGTATTCCTGTGTGTTAACATCAGTGTCAGTTCCTACAAACTGAGGACGGGGACTTTCGCATTAACAACATAAGATCTTTAGGATCAGAATACTTTGTGCACAGATCTGCTGATAACTCAAACTGGCAGTCTCTCTCTGCTGCCAACAATTAACAAAGTAAAGGGGAGGCTTCTCCATCTGAGATCTGGCCTTCCACCAGGAGGTAGAATCAATGTGAGATATCCGGATGTCCCTTTATGTCAGATTGTTGCAGGACATGACTGAGGTTATTACTCTTTAAGACACAGAGGGCGGATTCAAGAAGGGAGTGAACAGTTTCTGAAGCCACTGAACCTGAATAAGTTCAGTATGAATCTTAAAGGGTGTGATATTTGCACATATTTCAATATATGAAGACTTCTGCCTCAAAATGGTCTCTTTTTGTATATGCAAACATGCCTGGTTGCATAAACAGTCCGATTCACAAAGACCATTGGTTCTAGCCACAAACTAAATAGTACAATTATCAGAGTTTGTTGTAGCAAAACTGCATTTCAAGAGAATGCCTACATTTAAGCCATTTTTATGTTTCTTTATGGCCATTTAACTATGTGCTGGTTGTATTTTAACCTTCTTAGTGGTGTTAAATGGAACCTTATAAAGAAAGAAAGTTATTTACTTTATGTATAGGGATGTATAAGATATCAAGATATTACAATAAAAAGGTCTCAATGTTGTTGTGATTCTCTGACGATATTACTTAACATATTTGTGCCACTTTTTTTTAATAAGAATATTAATTATTATAAATTTGGTTCGGGTCAAATACATTAATTTATCAAGTCCAATTTACTTCTAAATGTTTTGAAAATCAGACATTTCAATGATATCATGATATTATTATTTTGGGGTATCGTCAAACCCCTTATTATGATAAATAACGGTATGCTAGCTATGCTATATTAAAAGTTGTAGCTTGTATTGTCAAATGATACTTATACTGTCTGTTACGTGTGACTGCCCCATCGGGAATGCTTTGAACTTGGCTATACTCTGTGTAGTGACAATACAGGAATCTAATCTAATCTTCTTGCTTCCTTGCCAAGAGTCAGATGAGAATATTAAACCCAACTCTCTGCAACAAAGCGAGGATGATAATCTCCCAAAACAATCCTTCTTTATTCATTTTCTTATTGTTTTATGTGAGGGACTGCAGATGGAAAGTAGCTCAAAGCTAAATCCAGCATATTTACACTTGGCATATTTAATGTTTTAAGTTATTTGTCCAAGGGCCCAAATTATTCCTAGAGACACTTTCGGGGGGCCAGCGAGTTTTTTTTATAGCCCTGAATTTAGAAGTTGTTAACAGTTCACGCTCACGTACTGTCAAGTAAATTGTAAGTAAGTAAATGTAAGTATTTAATCCACGTCGTCTCACCAGGCCGGTGCGACTGGGCCGCCCGCCCACAGACGAGGCCACGGAGCTGACGGAGCTGATGGAGGAGCTGCTGGGGCTGTGGGCCAGAGAGGAGACGCCCATCGCCATCCGCTTGCTCTTCTTAGCCTTCGCTGGAGAGGTGGAGGGGAAACCGATCCGGATCACTTTGTGGATCGGAGCGAACAGGCCGAACTTGTGGAAACACTGGAAGTATCTGCAGGGAGAGCGGAGGCAGGAGTTTGGTTTAAAGAGGATGTCACCAAGAACATACTTTTATACAAAAACAAGCAGAGAGAGGGAGGTTTCATACACAATAACAACTTCAGAGTTTTCTCACAGTCTGTGGCACTTCCTGTTTACTAGACGCTTATTTATTGTGATGAGGTTGGATAAAAATGTGCCAAATGAAGCCGATAAAATTGTTTTTAAAATGATTTTAAGATTAGAAGTACTTTAATGTTTGCGGTGCAGCAGCAAAAAAAGACAAGATGTTTTTTTCCCAGATATTTGTGACTTTATAACCGCACTGATTTATTTGACTTCATCTTGTTAACTTGTGTGTTTTATCTCACATATGTATGACTAGTGCTGTGTACCTGGACTCATATTCAGGTTCAGGTCCGGACTCAAGTCCAGAGGTTCAGGTTCAGGTCCGGACTTATAAGTCCGGACTTGTGTCAAGTTGTGTGAGTAACTAAAGTGAACTTATTGTGAGCTAATTATCAATTGAAAATAAACTCATAATCAACTCAAATTCAAACTCGTCAGGTTTATTGTGCCCCCTTCCAACTTGTGTCTACACCATGTCTTTTCTAGAACTCTACATGTGTTACTAACTACACAACACAACTACATACATAGTGATGTACATACAAGACTCAATATGCAAGAGTACAAGTCTATGTGTTCTTGTTCAAGAACAACAGCATATTGACATTGTCTGGGTGAAGTGTTGCTCTTTCGGCAGACACTATATCACCATACATACAAAGGAGTTAGCTTAGCTACACTACCAAATATGGCAACCAGCATCCCACGCTGTCAGTGTCCACTATGTCTAAGCCAGCTTCCCTTGACGTCACACAGATCTCGCGAGCAGTTGCGATAATTTGCGAGACTTCGTGAGCTCAGTAATGGCCGCCATATCAGAAGCCAAAACAATTTTTTTCCGTCTTTTCTCAGCGCAAATTTCTCGATCTATGGAAGGTTTTAGATGGTTTAGAACAAAAAGGAGAATATACGTAAGTACCGGTTCCCGACGTTCCGGTTTTAACCGGACTTGAACCGAAACTTTTTACAAGTCCAGTACCGGTTCGGCGTACCGGTACGCAGCACTAGTAGTGGGAGGTGGCTGGTTTCGCGGGTCAACGTCAACCCAATGTGTTGGGTATTCCAAAACAAACCAACACAACTTCATAGAAATTGCAACCCAACAGCTAATAACTCCATACCCAACAGAAATAACCCAGCGAATTGGGTTCTCAGAATATCCATTTCCATAAAAATAACCCAATTAAATTAACCAACAGGTTCAACCTAGTGGTTGGGTTGACAAAATAACCCAACATTTTTAAGAGTGTAGCCTCTATTAAACCATGACTCCTGGTTTTTGTCAACCCAACCACTAGGTTGAACCTGTTGGTTAATTTAATTGGGTNGTGTGTGTGTGTGTGTGTGTGTGTGTGTGTGTGTGTGTGTGTGTGTGTGTGTGTGTGTGTGTGTGTGTGTGTGTGTGTGTGCATTACTGACTGAGCAATCATTCTAAATTAGAGATGTTTAGAGATGTTTGTGGTTGATTTTGGTAAAGCCCCTGTAAAAACTCTCTCTCACGGAAAATAACTTCCCATGACGTGGCACATGTGCCAAACACACACACATAAACACACACCGATGCTCGCACACCCCTTTATGTGCCGCACCTACCATCCTCCTTTACCCGCTACTTTACAGTAAATGTGTTAACTAACCTGTATTCAGTCTCCGACACTACTTGGCAGAGCGTGAGAAAGCAGTGAGCATGATGGGTAATTGCCATGCTGCACGCAGTGTCTACAGGAGCAAGCTTTATGAGATGACGGCGGAGGAGGAGGAGAGGGGGAAGATTTCTTTTGACAGTTGCACGTTTTTAAAACTGTGACCAAAGTAATCAGCCTGCCTACACTTTATCAATACTTGTTGTCTTGTTTAAAGCTGATATTAGGGAAACATGTCTATTTGTGTGGCCGATAATGAAAATGTCTTGGAGAAAGCGCAGATTGTGGCATGAGTTTGTGCCTCCAGCGTTTATGTGTTTAGGGGCAATAATTGATTTCTGTGTTGTGCCCCGCAGGGCTTGTCCCACATCTCTAAACCCACACACACACAACAGCATGCACACACACACAGCCAGGCATGCTGCAGTATTAATGAGACATGAATAAGACATGAAGAGAGACCCCCCTCTTACATGCTCACACAGGGTCTCCCCCTCCCCAGCTGCTTCCTGTCTGCAGATTACCCTGCTTTCACTGGGCTCTGGTTAAGTGGGGCCAGGAAGAGATTTAGCCCCCTCAGCAGGAGCGGACACACACATATGCTCATGGGCGCACACAACGTGCACACACACACACACACACACACACACTTACTGTAATAAAACATCAGAAAGTATCTGCTTTATTGGTGTTGACATGGTTTTAGAGGATCTAAATACCTTTACACCTCTATCTTAAAACAAACACAATTAAGCAATTAAGCAATTAAGGAAACATGTAAATGTTGCTTGTGTGAGAGTTAAGAAATATTTCTTCAATTTGAGTTTTTTGTGGGATGTGTTTGGAGCTAAATGAATGGTAAGGAAGCATTCTAGCCTCAGCATAATGGCACTGTTTTTAACAGCGAGTGTATGTTGTTGCAGTTCAAGTTGTGACCTTTTATATGTTTTCTTTACAGGCGACGTCCTGCCCAGGACCCGTGGCTCTCAGCTCGCAGGTCCATGCCGCCGCTGTCAATGGAGATAGGAGCGCCCTCCTCAAACTCATCACAGGTAGATAAATGGCTTTAAACATATTACACTACATACAGCGTGTCACATCAAGACTCACTTTTATAAGAAGTAAAGTATTACTTTTTGTATTCCTATAAGGACCATTTCTTTGCATTTGCCCCATCTGTAGAGGGTCAGAGAGCAGGGACAGCTGCAGCAGCTGCTAGGAGTTTGGGGTTTTGCACAGAGAAATCAGAGCAGGTGCAGCATGGTAGATTGAACCGTGGTCCATCTGCTAAATTGTCCACTCTTCTGCAAAAGTGCTGACATTATCTGGACATATAGCAATATTGTTATGCAATCTTCCGAATTCTTAGAAATGTCTGGAAAAATATATTAACAGCCTCAAAAGATGATCATCGCATATTCTCTTCGTCCTCACAACCAAACAGCTTCCAGCTGTTCCAAGTACATTTTAAAATGTGGAAGCGGATTTCCTATTAAATGCAAGTAGTAAAAGACTGCAATTTAAATAAAAGGAATTCCCTTTATAAACAATTTATAACATTTTCCATCACAAGCCACTTAATTGTACTTTTTTAATTAATTGCATATTCCCTTAAATCTTGGTCTCTATTAACGCTTACCTGCTGACTCAACCTGTGCTTTGTGTGTGTGTGTGTGTGTGTGTGTGTGTGTGTGTGTGTGTCAGTCAGTGAGTAAAGGGAGAGTGAGAACATCACAAACAGCAAAATGTATCTCTTTTCTTAATGCCCAGTGGTTTCATGATGAGTGACAGCTGTACTCAGCATGTGTACAGTTTAGAGCCTTTGGGTCTCAGATTATCTGTGTTCTGACACTTGAATGAGACACGATAACGTGCAAAGTCCCTTAAAAAAGTTAATTACCAGATGTCCAGTCTGGGAATTTGGCTGGGACTTTGGCTTGCGTCCAATACATTTAATTCAATCCTCATCCCCTTATCATGTACAATTATAAACTCTTCTAGATTCTGATTTAAATATGACAAGTTCAATTTCACCACGAGGGAACTGTAATCCAAAAGCAAAACCAACTGGCTGTCATTTGCAAATAGCTGCACACTATCTTTACAAGCTCATGTTGCCTTGAAATTGCAAACCTTAAATGACTCGCTGGATGTTTCTCAAGTTTAGTATAAAGCTGTACAGAAGTAGCCCATGCCCTATAATAATGTAGATCCTCACTTTCACTATTCTAACTAAAGGAATGACCTGCAAGTTCAACACTATTTAAACGTTACTAATTACACTTTTAATAGTGTCTGTGTGTCAAAAGCCCATCAATGAACCTATTTGTGTTATTGTTAAGTGTGACAGCCTGGGTATAAAAAGAGAAAGACAGTAAGTAGTAAATCTCTTCTTTGGTATTTCAATGGGATTAGTTGAAAAAGGCAACTCCAGTTTTATAATCCACGTTTTTACTAGCAGCACTATTCTGTCATAAAAATATGTATAAAATAATAAAAAAGAGAACATTTTATCTTAAGTGACCAATTATGAATAAGAAATTCAATGAAACTGTTTACTTCTGGGAACATTTGTCCTCTATAATCTATATAATATTTGATTAAAAAAAAAACTGAAATAACAGAAAATGATGCATTTGAGTTTTATACATTCAGTTCAGCTCACAAGCACTACATTTTTACAATATGAGTTCACCTACTGAATAAAAAAAGAAGAACAAATGAACAAATGAAAGTAAAACTATAAAGCAAATTCAGGAAGTACGTTTACAGATTCAAATTTATGGTATCAACCCAAAGAACAGTACAGCTTGAAAGAAAAAATACAATCAGTTTATTACACAAGAAACTAAATAAGCTCTTTTAATTCATTGTTTTTAGTAACAATGTAATCCTTCTAATTATTCCCAATTTAAAAAGAAATGTAACAGTAATCTGATTACGTTTTATTTGTATGTAACTGTAAGGAAATATAGTTATCTTTTTTGTATCCTGAATACTATATACATTACATTACTCCCCAAGCCTGGCACACACACACACACACACACACACACACACACACACACACACACACACACACACACACACACACACACACACACACACACATACAAACACACACACATGCAAACACACACACATAGTCTAGATGCATGCTCACACACTAGATAGATCTGTCAGACTGTGGCGATATGTTCAAATATACAAATCACACTCACACGTGCACACGGCACGGCAGCATCGTATCTCACACCGTACCGTCCAGTGACAATACATCACCTGACAGGAGTGGTGAGAGACCAAAAGTAAGGAGGACGAGGATGATGATGATGGTGATGGTGATGATGTGTGTGTGTGTGTCATTGCCGCTCGTTCACTAATATTGAGGAGAATTGGGGATTTCTGAGAATATTTTGCTCATGTGTCGCAGGGGAATTTGCGTTTCCTGAAGCTGCTTCTGTCCAGGCGAGCTAACTGGCTGCAGAAAGATTTAGAGGAGATGACCCCGCTCCACCTTGCCACCCGACACCCCTCCCAAAAGGCCCTCGCCCTGCTGCTTAAACACATCGGACCTGGAGAGGTTGACACCCAAGACAAGAACAAGGTAATACATTGAAGATATACACTCTAAGTTGTTGGATGACGGTTTCCTCAGTTTGCCCTCAGTCAGAAACCAGCCAGTCTGGGCGTCCAATAACCTGCAAAGACATAACTGACAGACTGAAGATCTTTCATAGAAGCAGCAGGAATTTAATGTCACACACACAAAAACACACAGAGGCACACTCACACAGCAGTGGACGACATAACAATCTGTGGCTTTGTCCTGTGTTCTGCTGATAAAACCACAAACACACAAACACACGGCCCTTTGTCCGTTTGGGCTGATTTGTATCTGACATCAGTAGTTGGTTTTGTAATAATCCAATATGCATCATCGTGTCAGATGACAGTGGTTTCGGTAAATCTCAGAATAGCTCAGTAGCCGTCATGGCAGCACTATCTGAATTACAATCTCAGCTCACTGCCGGATCTTCAATAAGAGCTTTGTGAAGCACGTAGCCCTCATAATTCCTGTCAGAGTGGAGTAATTTATTTTAAAGTGAATGGAAACCTCAAACCTGGTTTTTTAACGGCCTCCTCTGTTTTAAACTCCATTCATCATCTTGGGCACTTTTTATCTAATTTTTCCTCTCTTTGTCTCTGCAGCAAACGGCTCTCCACTGGTCGGCTTTTTATAACCGACCAGAACACGTTCGCCTCCTGATCAAGCACGACTCCAACATTGGCATCCCAGACAGCGAGGGCAAGATTCCTCTGCACTGGGCAGCGCACAGTCAGGAGCAGAGCGCTACACAGACTGTCCGCTGCATACTGGTACACACTACTGTACACACACACACATACACATTCATACATATACACACTCACATGAATCGGTCATAATCACATTTCATCTCCACTTTTTAAACAACAAAGCTTCTTTACTGTGTTTGTCTTCTTCTGTGTGTTTGTGTGTGTGTGTGTGTGCCTGAGAAGGAGGCAGCTCCCACTGAGTCCCTGCTGAACTGGCAGGACTATGAGGGGCGGACCCCCCTGCACTTCGCGGTTGCTGACGGTAACGAGGCAGTGGTGGAGGTGCTGACGTCTTACGGGGGTTGTAATGTGACAGCTTATGATAACCTCTTCAGAACCCCGCTGCACTGGGCAGCTCTGCTCGGTGAGTGAACATACTTCCTGTATGTGACCTGCTGCGGCCTGAATGACTGATACACAACCAACAATATGGATTTCCCCCACAAATGAATTGAAGCCAAAATGGCAACATTTATTATTACTGCACATTTAGATAATGTTTTTTGTTTTAATCCATGCTAGCATTGTGTCTCTAGGGCAAGGATACCATACTCGCTTTACTGTAGGGGCTGCTTTTGCAAAGTGACATAAGGTAAGGGGCCAGTTACGACATTTAGGCTTAGGCTTAGCTTGGACCTCTGTAGGGAACTGTGGCACTTTAAAACAAATAAACAAGCTATATTGAGTCTTAAACTCTTTGATGAATTACTATGAAATTGTGTACAGACATTTATGGTCACAAGAAGAGGAATCATACTGACTGTGATGATGGCTGACATCTTAAATCTTGTGCCAGATGACATTCCCATGAGCATTGTTTTTGTGCTAATTAGCACATGTTAGAATGTATAACCAGGATGATTAGAATAGTCAAATAGAGTGGTAGGTAGGAGTGTAAGTGACAGTTGACTTTTGTTGACTTGATGAGGAGTTTCTTGCTTTTCTGTTACCAGTTCTGTGAAAGTCAACTGAAATTACAAGGGGCCTTTGTATAACCAAGCAGTTGTCCTAACTCCTAACTGTAGATCCTTTTTCACTATCAGTCCCCCTCACATCCCACTAATGTAAACATGTTTTTCAGGCCATGCCAAAATAGTCCACCTGCTGCTGGAGAGAAACACTTCAGGCACTATTCCCTCAGACAGCCAAGGAGCAACACCTCTGCACTATGGGGCTCAGAGCAACAATGCTGTGAGTCTCATTCAATGAACACGCAGAACTGGGAATCCTGCTGAGTCAGCATCGTGCATCTTTATCCAAAATGTAATATCGTTGATAATGAAATAAAGCCGTCTCATTATGTATCTTCAGCATCTCTTTTAAAATCCCAAAACTGGCCGTCTCTGTGCGCCTGTAGGAGACAGTGGGTGTGTTTCTGTCCCACCCGTCTGTCAAGGATGAACCCGACCTGGAGGGGAGGACGGCTTTTATGTGGGCTGCTGGGAAGGGCAGTGATGATGTCATCCGCACCATGCTGGCCCTCACCCCTCACATTGACATCAACATGGCCGACAAGTACGGAGGCACCGGTGAGCTCCTGAGAAACAGGGGGGGCAACTGATGCTCCTAACAAATGTGACCAACACCCACAACGTTGCCCCTCTTGCTCTCTTTTTTGGCATTGCAACAAACAAGCCCTGTTGATTATTCTGTACACAAGCACACACACTTTTATTAAAGATATCCAATATACAATATACCAGGCCGATAAATTGTTGACAATGCATATTTGTATGTTAGGTTTCCTGGAAGTATCTCAAAGCAATATCAGACATGAATCACAGGGTTTAAAAAGTTAAGAAGATTTCTTATGGACAGGCTCAATCACTTTTGTGACGAGAAGTATGACGGTATAATTAATAATTATTGGTCATTTTGTTATTTTAGGAGTCGGTTTTAGAGTTTTTTACGTGGTGTTTCTTTGTAAATCAAAAACTCATTGTTGACTTCAGATTAAAATGTATTTTTGTTTTGGATTGCGTGTCGTCAACCCCGCTTGGACCACTATTTAAATAAAGTTATGATTTCTCTATCCGTAATAGGCCATGAGAAGCAGGTCCTTTTTGGCTGTCTGTATCCGCTTAGAAAACTCAATATGTGCATCCCTAATATTGTTTTTTCAGAGCATGGCTTTCTGCTTGTTTTAGGCTAGGGGTGATGATGTCACAGGGGATTCCCCCAAAGGTGCAAGAGAGACTGAGGGAGAGAGGGAAGTGATACTGTCAGCAAAATCAGTGTGAGCCCGCTGAATAGACTCCCTTCCCTGCCAGCACTGTCCTCTGACACACACACACACACACACACACACACACACACACACACACACACACACACACACACACACACACACACACACACACACACACACACACACACACACAGCACTCAGTGTCACCACCCATCTCTTTCGCTCTCCTCTATCTGCCAACCTCAATTCAGTCTGTTTCACATCAAATAAATGCTGCTTAGAGATCAAACCCAATTCAGGATGGTGTTGTCCAATATGGACGGACGCAGGTAGATGTTGATGGAGAAAGCGAAGGGGAAAGAGGAAGACAAACAGTCGAACAGGAAGTGTCTGAGATTAGATGGAGGGGAAAACAAATGAGGTAAGCAGGGGAGCAGAAGTCTGAAGGAAGGACAAATTGAAAATGAACATGAGTGCGAGGCAAGGATCACACAAACCAGACAATCTGAACTATTGCTGAAGACATAGCAGCCAGAGAAATTATAGGATTTCTTGGGGTCAAAATAACCACATCGGCTATCTTTACTGTTCCAATAGAAACATTGGATAGTTAGCCACAAACTTTGAGGTGGACATGTGCGCATGGCTCAAGGCCACAGATTTTTCCTCTCCTTTGAAGTACACATATACTTAATCTCACAGCTAAATTGTTTGAAATGTAGGTCATGGCTCCAATTTCACTACAGTGGGGCAAGAATTAAAAACCATCCACACTTCAATGCATCAGCGGCTAGACCCTCTTTTACCTTGACTCCATAACAATCTTTCCACAATAATTTCTGTTACGGTCCCTAATAGTCTAGGGTGAAAGGGGAATAAAAAAATATAAAATAACCAGGCAATTTGCAAACTTAAAATATATTGTTTAATTAATCCAAAATAAAGAGGGCTCACTAGCCAAGTTACAAAACAAACAGAAGACAAAATAAAACAACTTTCTTACAAAAGACAGCGATAACAAAGAACCATGTCAAAAGAAACAATGTAGCACATCTTCTAACACTACACAGACTAACAGGTCTCACTCAGAGACAACACACTTCACATGCTGCCCAGAGGGGAAGGGAAGAGAGGGGTGCAACAGCTCCTCAATCCTTTATACAGGGTTTGATTGGGGATTGGGAGCACCTGAGAGACAGGTTGCATCTGTTTGGCAGTGGCTCAGTCAGTAGGGGCTTGGACTGTGAGCCGTAGGGTCGCCGGTTCAAGTCCCTGAACAGACCTAAATATGGAGTGTGGACTGCTACTTGGAGAGGTCCCAGTTCACCTCCTGGGCCCTGCCGTGGTGCCCTTGAGCAAGGCACTGGACAACCCCCCACTCCCATTGCTCCCCGGGCGCTGTACAATAGCTGCCCACTGCTCCTAGTACTAGACTCCTGGTACTAGGGTTAAATGCAGAGAACAAATTTCACTGTGTGTGCTGTGTGCTCTGCATGTGTGACCATTAAAGAGGGTTTCATCCCTCCGATTCTATATTCTATCTGGAGGGAGACAATCAGGTGGAGAGGGGGGAGTCTAACCCACAAACTAACCACGGCAGGTAACATCTCTCATGAAGAACATGAGTTTTTTGGACATGCTTCTTATTAAGTTTCAGTTAACACTACATGATTTAATTATAAGAAAATCGAAAGTCCATTACCTTGACTTGAATACAACATAAGACTGTTGAGGGTTAGGTGCAAAGTTAAGGCTCTCAGTTAACTGTTTACGCTTTGACATGTAGACAGGAGGAGCAAGGAATGAACCACCAGCCTAGCGAACAGTGGTTATTTAGGTTGCTTTGTTCTTCTTTTAATGTGGAACACATGATGCAGGGTGAAAATTGTATTTGATGCAGGGTGAAAGGAAATATTTGCTTGAAGGGAATGGACAACATTTAGTGCAGAGCCCTCTGGTGTTCTGTCATTGGATACAATTGACAGTGTCAGTCCAATGGAGAAGATGTGACGCAGGGTGCTCTTTCAGGGGATACAATTTGGTGCAGGGCTCATCCAATGGAGCAAATGTAATGCAGGGCCCTATGGTGTTCTGTCATTAGAGACAGTTTGGTTTAAGGGACTAAAGGGTGTCCTTTAAATGGACACGATCTGGTACAAGACCCTCTAGGGTGCCTTTCCAACTGAGAACATTTGATGCAATTCCCTCTTGTCAGCCCAATGGAGGAAATGTTGCACAGTGTCCTTAAGATCCTCCTTACAATGGAGAACGGTGATGCAGGGCCCTGTAGGCTGCTCTTTCTGGTGGATGACTTTATTTCAGCCGGTGCCAGTCAATTTAGCTATCAGACAAACTGACCATGCAGATGAATACAGAACAGGACACATACAGTTCAAAGAGAAATCTGAGAAGTTACCTCTGGGTTCTCCTTACTGTAGTGGAAGAAGCAGAGAAAAAGAGAAGGGTACATGCTTCTCAAAGTCTGCTCCATATCAGACTCTCCATGACAGGCTTCTCTACAAACCCCAGGGGGCAAATAAAAGAGGGAAAGAAAGACATGAACTGCATACATTATGGCTAGCATTGCATCCAAAATCTCTTAAAAGTAGAGAGCAGTGTGTCCGACAGACACGCAGGATTAAGGATTGAATCCTTGTCAACTCCATATAAGAAGACTTTAGGGATGAATAAAATCAAAACTCCACTCATCTATCCTCCAACACGTTTTTGTCCAAGACTGTCTCCAAAGATGGGTATTACAACACCAGCTAAAGGGTCCTTCTAACCACCAACTTGGTTTATCTGCCAAGCTATTTGTTTGTCTTTAATCAAAAGATTGAATTAGAAAGGCTGCTGCCTTATTAGACTTCTTGCCCTCTGGCTCTTTTGCTGTTGAGCTTATTTACAGTATTCACAGTATGTGCTGGACCTTGAAAATGTTCTTGGCCATTGTATGATCACAAAAAACTCTATATTTAAATTATATTCATTTTAAGTTGTTTAATCCACTCAGTTTTTCCTTGCCTGAATTTGAAAGGATAAATTGGGTAAGTAAAAACTGCACACACGTTACAGGTAGCTTTGCAGGATGATGTGGGCCGTGTGAAATCTGGCATGGAACATTTATTCTGGCAGCCATGTTTACCCAAATATTAACTCTGCATGATGTGCCCTGTTTATCTGGATTGAAGCAGAGGAGTGGATCAAATGAAATATATTTTATTAAAATATTAGATATACTGAGATGATCAAAATGTTCTGCCTGCTCATCATACAAAATGTCACATATATACAACCTCATGCCCCTCTTCATTGCTTTTTCCAGCTCTTAAGTACTTCAGTTCACTTTCCATAAAAGTGCTTCTTTATACTTTTTTTGCAACTAATCTGAGTGGTGAGACTCATAAAAAGTTGTGTGCCAGTTAATAAAACCATCAGCTTAAGGCCCCGTCCACACAGAGACGATTTCAGTTGTATCCGCTAAAGTTCTTTATCGTATAGACCAGGGGTGCCCAACCGTTTTTGAACCGAGAGCAGGTCTGCCGAGATCTACCAGTCCAAATAGAGAGGAGTAGCCATTACTGACAGCCTACTACCAGGTAAATACACACTTCTACTTCTATTAATACTTCATAAAATACTGCAGATCCTTTAACTTACCTCTTTCTAATCTACACACATACAAGTATTTAACTGAAGTTACACAACAGTGTTGTTGATACAGAGTTGGAGTTTATTCACACGTCACATACTACAGTGGGTAATGTTTTCAAGAAACATTGAACAGTG